TTTAACAGGAAAAAAATGAAATATGTTTAAATAAGGAATATAGAGCATATACTTTACTGAGTTCTTTGGCTAGAGCAGCCTGATTTATTGTTGAGTGGTAAGTGGATTGGGAAGAGGGCCTGTTACAAACATCTTGGAAGCCCTACTCATACCAAGCAGGACTACTAGCACAAGAACACATACTGTAATCAGCAGGATAAAACTAACCTGTCCCATGATGGTCAATTCCCGGCTCATGTTCCCTACTACTTAGGGATACAATTTGTTTCTGAGTGCTTTTGATTCGGTGCATTTCCTTTGGTGACATCACTGGTCTGCAGGTTACAGGGGAAAATTACTTGTGTGGAGAAACTAGGATTATTTTCTAGGATTGTTTGGGAAATGGGAAGAGAATCCAGGGGGAAGGAAGGAAGGAGTTAAAAATGATAGGCCCTCAATTAACAGAAGTCCATGTTTTACCATTTAAAAAAAAGATACTTTCCCTGTGACCTCACATGATGAGAATAATGCTACAAGCCTATGTGTCTGGTTATTGTAAAGTCCCAAGCTGACGTGCACAAAGGATGCTTGGGAGAGATGGCACAGCCTGAGAACTGGAAAAGTGCTTGGTTAGTATACTTAAGAAAGATGGGGCACTAGCAGAATAGAACCGAGAATTGCTACTGGCCTCCAGTAAGAATATAAAATGTTACACATAACCCTCACTTACCACAATTGGGACTGGCAACTCTATAGCTCAGCAACATAGCAGTAAAGTGAAATGTCATGTGACTGTGCCTGACTTACATCATCAGTTCCAGCTGCAGTCGTTAAGCGAATCACCGCAGGTCATTAAGCATGATGTCACACGACCATAACTTGTGACTTCCTGTCGGCTTCCCCATTGACTTTGCTTTTCGGAAGCCAGCTATGAAGGTCGCAAAAGGCGATCATGTGACTGCGTGATGCTGTGACAGCTGCAACTTTGAGGACTGGTCTTAAGTCTCCTTTTTCACCACAGTCGTAACTTCAAACAGTTGCTGAACGGATGGTTGGTAAGCAAGGACTACCTGTACAGCATTAAATAAAGTGGAGTGATGGTGAATTCATGCAGAGGACAGAGTCAAGCCAGTAAGTTCCTTTTCATTTCTGTAACTCCACAGCTCTGCCCCATCACATTATCTGTGACTCAGTTGGCCTTCTGAAAAGCCACTTCCTGAAGGTCCCTTCACATATCACTGCAGTCGTCTGGGAACTGAATTTTCCATGGTTTTTTCTCCAGCTCCCATGATGACCCTTGGAAAGCTGGGTGTCTGGGGCCAGCTTTATGGGTCCCTCCTTTAAATCATTTCTGCCTAAGTCATCCCCAGGCATTACTGAGTTTGTGGCAACAATTGGCTTTGAGGAAAAAGTTAGGATTTACTGCTTGGGCCACAGATACTCCTCTCTGTAGAAGTGGCTTATTTTTGCACAATTCCTTTTTTCCTTTTGGAAAGTCAAGTTCTCTAAAGGGATGGTGGGGTGTTTTTTTAAAAAAAATATTGTCCATTCTTTGTTTTGTGTAATTGTAAGAGCTCCTTTGGAAAGTCATTTTCTGCCTCTAGGCAGAGGATTAGGTTTAAAAACGAAACAAAAAACAGGGTATTCACTGGCTCAGGCTACTAAATCACTACAAACTAGGTAGAGGAGAACCTTCAGTGGCATGTATTATCATGGAAGGAAGGGCCATGTGCTCAAACAGCGTGTTAATCTTGGGCGTGTTAATAGAAGCATTAGAAGCTTGCAGCCATGTAATTAAAGTTTCTAGATCTCACACTTGTAAGACATCACCAGGTTAATGCTCAAAGATTTCTAGTGGTATTTGTTTGAGGGCTGATAAATTTAATTACTGTTCTGTCTGTCTGCCTCCAGACTGAAAATTCCTAAAAAATGTTGAGGGATCTCCAGAAATTGCAACTTCAATATACTACTTTGGTCTAATTCCTATGAGCAGCAGTTTATAAATTCAGTATTGAGGGTTCTAACCTGGTATAAGAGTATTTTAATCTTCCGACTGAAAGTTCACATTTTGTAGGATCTACTTTGAATTGCTAATAGCCTCTTTGAGCCTTTGCTTGTTGTTCAGAGAATTATCTCCTGAGTCTCAGTTTTAGCCATTAGCTGAACAGTTCACAGACAGACCTGGAAGGGGTGCTTTTTTGGCCCGGGGTGGGGGGAAATTATCCCATTATTACATGTGAAAACAGGTAACAAACGTATCAAAATATTAAAGTTAATTTAGCCAGACATTATGTTCACACAGTCAGCTGTCTAGCACATTCTGTATCAAGGCATGTAACATAAATTAATTAAGAAGTCTAACTGAAGTATATGCAAGTACCAAAAAGAAAAAAAAAGATTGAACTGTCCATTTGGATAATTCCAGTGTCTTCAGCCTGAGTTCCCCTTTCATGGTGTTCTTACTCTGTTATTTAAATCATTAAGCTCTACTGTTTGACAATTTATGAGCAGTCTGAGAAAACTTCCATCTTCCCTCCCAAACTGTAAACTATTTTTAAATATCTTTATTGAAGTATATTTTCCTGAGAGATTTTTACACAAGTAAAAACATGCTCACAATATCTGGAATATCTGTGCAGTGTTGTCTTTAACATTTTGGCCACTTTGTGGAAGTCTGCTTACTTAAGAACCAGGTCTTTATTACTCTTAACTCCACTCACGATATGGACTTGCTTGGCTCTGAGTTCCACTGTTAAATGTTATTAAACACCAGGATCAAGATTAGGGTAAAAGTGTAGATTGTTCAGATTTCACGATTAGCATCTTCTTTCACAAATAGTTTTTGTTTCATTGCCCAAATGCTTTTTCTTGGAGATTTTCTATGTTTGATTTGCTGATATTCTCGTCAAAATTGTGTGAGTAGTGCTTTTTCTGTTATCCCACTACAGCATATCCTAGTGTGGAGCAAAATAATGCTTTAAAATACCATTAAGTTTGGTCAAACGGTACTCCATTGTATGAACTAGTACTTACTAAGAAGGGTAAAACTTCACTTATGGTATTATTTTGTAATGTACCACAGCTAGGAACCCTTTCTAATAATGAGTTTCACATTATTACATTGGAGTACTGAATTTATTTAGCTGTGACTGAAAGTCTCAGGCCTCTTAGCTATCAAAAAATGGTAATGAATTAATTAGTCTTATGCTTGGAAAGAGCAGATGAGGAAATAAACCTGTTTCCAAAGAGATATTCCAGCACACACACACCATAAATCCTTGCACCCTGAAACCCCACTTATTGGAGAAATGTTTCTAATAGTTCTGTAAACCTGGATTAAAAACGTGAATGCATATCATAATCCAGAAGAAGAAACTCCATATCCTTCAGAGAACTAGGGAAAGTGATCTTAATGTTAATATTCACCTAAAGTACTTGACTTCAGTCAGTTTCATCAGAATCGTGATGTGTACTCATCAAATAAGAATACTTGTTTGAGGTTGTGTGGGATCTTTGGAATTTCATGTGTACCAGCAAGGAAAGTTAAGGGATTTTTTTTCACCTCTGCACTAAGCAGCTGTCTGTAACACTGAACCCAAACCTATGAATATGAAATATTTTTCCAGCTCAGCTTATTTCTCTTTTAATTCATGCCACTATAGGGAATATGAGCATATTTCATTTCCAGAAGAGATCGGTCAGTGATTAAACCCAATTTTTGGAACCTGCACAAAATCTGGCAGCGCAGTCTATTTCTAGCAGATGCCAATACAGGAGAGGCGGATTTGGTGTTCTTATTCCTCCTCCTCCTCTTCCTCTTTTTTTTTCTTTTTAAGGACAAAAATGTACATGTCCATCCAAGCAAAACTGAACTAACACATTTCTGTTTCTTATAGAAGGCTAAATAAAACAGAAGGCTTTATCCCCCAGGTAAAGTCTCCACTTTGGACCTGCTGCTGTAAATCCTCTGGGTCTTGGCAAAAACTTAACTTGTTAGCTTGTTTTTTTACTTAATTTTTGCTGCTGGCACAAATTCATGTTTCAGCCCAAGGCTCTTGACTCAAGTCTCCTAAATCGGGGCATTGACACATTCTAGAGGAAAGAAATGTTTCTTCCCAAGGCTTGAAAGGAAACCCTTCCAAATGAAATTTTTTGAGTTGGATTCAAAATATGAGAATATTTTGCAGCTCAGCAAAGTTTGTTAAAATCCACCCACCAAATAAATCTTCAGTTGTTCACAAATAATATCTGTGGCATGCTTTTATTCAAGCACTTTACAGTTGATGAAGGAGGATGTTTATGGGCCACTATTCAAGTCAATGGAAGAGGGTCACGTGATGCATCAACTCCCAGGTTGCCAAAGTAAAGCCAGAAAAAGGTGTTTGTCAAGAAGTTAAAGAATAGAGGAATGCAGTTCCTGTGTAACAGTAGTAGTGCTAGAATTATGCTTGCATAATGTAGCTATCTTGATTTTTTAATAAAGTGATATACCTCCATTTACAGGTATATGTCCTACTTTAGATGTCAACTGAACAATGCCAGATGAACTAACTATATTGTCCTTAGAGGGGAAAATCAATAGAAATATTTCTTTGGCCTCTCATATAAAACCATTTCCTGACATTTATTTGTAGGGTTTGTACCACACCTTTTCACCTATATATAGTGATTGTGCAGACTAACAAACCAATTAAGACAGTAAAATTAAACACAATTAAAATAATTAAAATCCCAGTATGATCATGCTCTACAAGAAGTACAAAGGGTGGATGTGGGACACTCCTTCCAAATTCTATTCCACATCATATGACATGGCAGATGAATAAAATATAAAAGCAAAATGTATTGGTTCCTTTTATTTATATGTTTCTGATCTTCAGCTGATGCAGTGCCATCTCAGTCTTTGGTCATGCATTACAATGAATTGTTCTCTCTATGCAAGTTAATTTCTCATGAGCTCTAAAATATTTTATTGTTCAGAGCCTGAAAACAACTTTCTGTTTTCTTATTTCTTACCACAGAGGAAGAAGAGGAGCAGGTGCCAACGGATGGAGGAACTTCAGCAGAAGCCATGCAAGTTCCTTTAGAGGAAGAGGGAGAAATGGAAGAAGATGAGGCTGTTAATGATGAAAATTACCTAGGCAAGAGGCCACTAGGAAGCCCGGAATCTGAGGAAGTACCTGCAGCTAAGCGGCCCAAGCTAACAAACATAAAAGGAGATGCCCTTGATGTAACAGTGGAGCCACGTGAGCCTCTTAGTTTAATAAATACCCAGAAGGTACCTCCAATGCTTTCCCCAGTTTGTGTTCAAGACAGTGGTGATCTGGTGCCTCCTTCTCCAGAGCCACCCATACTGGCTCCAATTGCAAAATCACAGTTGCCAATTCCCAAACCATTGGAATCAAAAGCACTTGTTCCTAAAGCAAAGGTGAAAACAGTCTCTCCAGTGCAGAAAACTAAAATGCCAAAAGTTTCTCCATCTCCAGCAGTTATTGGAAGCCCCATTCGCTCACCAAAAATTGGAACCAAAGAGAAAAAGTCTCCTGGCCGGGCCAAGAGTCCAAGAAGCCCTAAAAGTCCAAAAGTTCCAGTTCATGTTGTTCCTCAAGTAACAATTAAGCAGGAGACACCAATTAGAACTCCATTAGTTGCATTAAGTGAAAAGATGGGGAAAGAGAATATCCAGGTAAAGCAAGGACCAGCACTGGGTGAACCTGCCAAACCCAATAGTGAGAATCCAGCCAAGAAATCAGCAGTGATTGACAAGACAATTGATGATTCCATTGATGCTGTAATTGCCCGTGCATGTGCTGAACGGGATCCTGATCCATTTGAGTTTTCCTCAGGGTCAGAATCAGAAGGAGATGTTTTTACCAGCCCAAAAAGACTTTCTGTGTCTGAGACTTCAATACCTAAAGCTTCTGTTTCAGCTAATAGTAGTTTAAACAAAGCAGGAAGCACCCCAGTTCCTCCCTCTGGTGGAACTTCAAGTTCAGACATTTCATGGACAATGGATGACTCAATCGATGAGGTTATTAGAAAAGCAAATATGGGTGCTCATGCTAATTTACCTGCAAACTTTCCATATTTCTCGTCTCCGTCTGCTTCTCCACCAACACCCGAACCTTTGCTCAAAATATATGAGGAGAAAACTAAGTTAGCTTCATCAGTGGAAGTGAAAAAGAAGCTGAAAAAAGAGCTGAAAACAAAAATGAAGAAGAAAGAAAAGCAGAAAGATAAGGAAAAGAACAAAGAGAAGAACAAAGATAAGGAGAAAAATAAGGAGAAGGATAAAGACAAGGAAGGGGCCAAAGAAGCCAAATTTCCATGGAAGGACCTGGTCAGAGAAGAGGATCTGGATCCTTTCAAGTTCAAAATGAAGGACTTTGATGACGATCCAAAAGTGAAGACAAAAGACACCAACGCCAAAAAAGAACGCGAGAAACATAAAGATAAGAAGAAGGAGAAAGAGAAAGGCAAAAAGGACAGAGAGAAGAAAGACAAAGAGAAAATAAAAGATAAAACTAAGGACAAGACCAAAGCTTTATCAGCCCCCCTTGCCCTCCCTCCCAAAGAACTGCCCCTGCCCTTGTACTGCCCCCCAGCTGCCATGAAACTCCCGTCGCTGCTGCAGCCCCCCTCAGCAGCACTTCCTGAGAAACTCTTTGAGGAGAAGGAAAAGCCCAAAGAAAAGAAAAAAGACAAAAAGGAGAAGAAGAAAAAGAAGGAGCGAGAGAAGGACAAAGAGAAAGAGAAAAGGGAGAAGGAAAAAGAGAAAGAGAAGGAGAAGAAGGAACGGGAGAAGAAGGAGAAAGAGAAAGAGAAGCACAAACATGAAAAAGTAAGCCTCTCATATATTGGAAGGCAGGATCTATGTCACCTTCCTCATTGCCCAAAATTATGTGCTGATTTTTTGTTTAATTATATGTTAAGCCTAAAAATGGAACGCCTTCATAGGATTCTGAACTGTAAAAGAGGAATGTAGATAGTAGGGGGGGAAATTGCAGAACCTTGGACCACATATATTTTTTGCAGCTTTTACTTTTATCAAAACCACTAGTGTTCCTTTCATTTCATCTCTAGACCTCCTTTTAAAACTGGAGGTTGTTAAGACCAGTGCTGTATGCACTATTAGTTTATGACAATAATGACAAAGTACAGAGTAATATATATTAAAAACCATCCTCTTCCCAACCATCCAAGAAGTTTGCAATCTAAAGTTGGGCAGGAAGTCAGTTGTTATATGATGTAAGGAACGGAAGGAAACATAAAATAGAATAAGTTAATACAGAAAGATAATACAGAATAAGTTTTGTGCTACTGTTTAGCTTCTATAGTTTGTTGCACATTCCATTCCATGAATAAATCAGATTCAAATTTTATATTGTTATCAGATCTAAACTTTTCATAGGCATTAGATTCTTCTTTTCCTATGTATATAAAGGTCTTAGAAGGGACTACAGCTTAGTGGTAGCACATTAGTTCTTTCTTCATTATTAACTTCATTTATATCCCACCATTTTTTGAGGGCTCGGGATTTTCACAACAACCCTGGTCCAAAGTTACCCAGTATAGCTCAGTAGTTGAGTGAGGATCTGAATATAGGTCTCTTTGGTCCAAGCCCAGTCTCTTAACCCAGACACTACTTTGGCTGCCAGTTTCAGCCCATAATTAGAGAAGACTTTCCTACTGTGAGGTTCTCTGGTGGAAGAACAACTGCTGCAGACCTTGCAGAGCCTCCGCCAATCAGGATACAAAATACTGAGCTTGGTGGCCCTTGTAGCCTCAGTGATATTAGGTAGTCATATAACACTGGGCCAAAGGCCAAATGGTGCAGTCGTAGGCAGAGGATGCTGGAGTGAGAAACGTGTGACCCTCCAGAGGACGTTGCGTATGATCTGGAGTCAGGTTAGATGAGAGGTGTCACTGAAGGGGGCCACAGGATATTGACCCTTGGCCTAATGATTCATCAGAGTATCGCTGCACCAAGGCAGCTTTTGACTGGGATGAGAGTAACAATGGAGTCGTAAACATACTCAGCGTGAAATCATTTTTAAGCCCCAAGAGGACTATCAAAGGTGAAAATGTTGGTACATTTTTTGCTCTCCAGTGAAACCAGAGAAACTTTTCAGTATTGAACAATTTAGCAATGTGATTTGTTTTCTTCTGGGAATTTTGAAATCCTCAGTGTTCCTCATTATATAAGCTGATAGGCTGTGCCTATATCTACAGACATTTTTTACTAGCTCTGATTTGTCAAATTAACACTACTAAGTTAAATGCCTTTTTTTTTTTTTGGCCTTCAAGTCAGACTTGGCTCCTGGCAATTACATGGGCAAAGTCCTAGGCAAGATTTTCAGAAGTGGTTTGCTACTGCCTGCTTTCTGGGACTGAGAAGGAGTGACTGGCCCAAGGTAGCCCTGCTGATTTCTGTACCTAAAGCAGAACTGGAACTCAGGTTTTCTTTCTCCCAGTCGAGCACCTTAACCAAACTGGTTAACTGCTCACATTGGGTTGTTATGATCTCTCCCATAGAAAGTACCATTTGTATTAGAGCTTGAATGAGAGATGCTTTGCTGAAATGCAACATTTGCTCTTTCTCAACGGGAGTGAACTATGCAGAGACCAAGGGAATCTGAAAAAGGAGACTCTGGGGAAAGAAAAAGAACTTGGCTCCCACTATCAGATAATCGGGCTATTTGATAGAGGTGAAGTGAGAAAAGCAGGTTCATTGAAGGAGACAGAAGGGATTTGAGTATCTGTGCTCAAATCTGCCTCCCTCCCCCTTTATCTGCCCTGGTATTTCCTTCTCTCTGTTCCCCTATTTTTGGTTGGATACTTTGGCATAGGAAACCACTCTATAAGCTCCTATAATGATCACATCTGGTAGAGAATTCTATCTCCCAAGTAGAAATCACATATAAATAAATATCTCTCAATGACTGTATTATCTGCAGAGGGGAGTCATAACTTATCATAATTGCAGCGTTCATATATTAACAGATTTGGGGAGAAGATATGATTCTGTTCCGAATTGCAACTTATGAATAAAGTGCTAAATGATTAAAATGAACTTTAGAAAAAATAAAATAGCTCTTCCCCCATTTTGTAACTAGTTCTTGTCTCCTACTGTTACAATTCAGTACACTATTAGGACTATAATGCAACATTACAAGTGATTAAAAATCTATCCTTTATACTCCTAAAATAAATTGTATTATAGGAAAGCAGTATAAGCTTGGGCAGATTACATTGACAAAGCTTCCTGTTACCTTGGTGAAAAGTCCCTGTCAAAAGATAAACTTTAAAGCTAGACTGCATGAAACAGTCCCTCAACAAAATTAAAATTTAAAGTGATCTCAAGAGATAAGTCTCCCCCCACCCTTTTTTTTTTTTTTTTAAAGATGGAAGAAGTCCATCTCTTTGCTGGAAGTCAGGATTTTGAAAATAAATTTTCTCCCTTTTAAATCTCTTGAGTGATTTTCATTTTTTGCAAGGCCGCTCTGCTGGTGTCCTGGAAAAACGGAGAGTTAGGGCTTTATCAGTTGGTGCCCTGAGGTATGTGGCAAAGAAGCTAAATCCTTGAAGATTAGTGCAAAAAAAAAAAAAAATTGCAGCACACCACAATAAGGGGCTTATATGACTACTAGTATTAGTTCAGGTGAAAGAAGTATTGCTTATACATAAAACTGGACAAATCCAGTGACAATGTATTTTTAGTTAGCTACAAAGGAGTCTTACATTGCTGGACATTACCTCTTTGGTGACTTGGGAAGCCTAGTAATCCACTGTAAATATTCTTCTGCCAGTCCAAATACCCAGCTTATTCCAAAATTGCAGCTCTTTAAATTTTAATCACAGAGAGTTCATGTCCCCGTCACATATTTTTAAAAACAAAATGCTCAAGCTGTCCATTTAATTTGCTTTCGGTGTTCCTCATGCATACTCACATTCATATTTTCTTTAACACACATTCACACACCTGCTTCTTCTCCAGTGTAGATGCTTAAACATAATCACGCACATGCATGCAGTTTTTCTTGGCTTCCAGTTCTATAAATAAAATGCCACAACCTCATTTAGATTCTTACTATTCTAGACTGTGTCGGTTGTATTAATTTAATTTGTAAAAATCAATGCAAAGCACCCCAAACAAAGCATGTTTCCATAAGTCTTAGTTCTTGAAACGTGCTCTTTAAAAATCAACAACTGAATTAAGATTTCTGGTTTTTGTTTTTTAGGGTTTTGGGTAGGATTATTTGATTAAATTACCACAAAAATGTTCTTGGATAGATATAAGCAAGCTTTCACACAATTTTTCTCCATATCTCATTTTGCTACAACTTTTTGCCCACAGGATTTGTGGATTGCAGATTCATAAAAGGAAGTACCTAAAAAACTTACAAATACAGTGACCGTTGTCTAGTCTGTGGCTCTTCCACCTGTCCCCCAAGGTCATTCCCACATACCATTACACTAATACAGCTTTCTGCAATCTTGCACCCTGCAGATCTGTTGGAACAGGACCTGCCAGAGTTCCCAGCCATTATGATGAAAGGAATTTTTAGTGTTGCAGTGCCACCGTACTTGGAAAGTGCCACCTTGGGGAAACCATGTACTTTCAGACTTGTGAGATTGATGTCAGCCTTGCAAGGTAGTCCAGACAAGAAACACACCCAGAAGTACTAGCTCTAATTTTATTGTAAGGTTACATTAGCAGGATCTTGCAAGTCTGAAAATACATCTCTCCCCCATTGCCTTTACAGTCCAAGAAACTAGGGAGGGTCCCTTCTGAGACGCTTTCTCCACCCCCATTCCTCCTGCAGGCTCAGCTGCCGCTTGTCTGACTGTTGTCTAGTCTGCGGCTCTTCCTCCTGTCTCCCAAGGTCATTCCCACATACTATTACAATTAGTATAAAAGGGAGAAGTTGTTTTTAATTAGGTTGATAATAAATTCATATAGGAAAGATTGATTCGTAACTTTTACCCTTTATAGTTAAATAAAACTTCCAGGTGTGGAAGCACTGTACCTCTGAGTGCCAGCTGCTAAAGGTAGGCTAATTGTCTTGCTTTGCCTATGATTGGATTAGGTTGATTTGTTCTGACCCAACAACATGCATTCTCCTTTGCCAACTGCAAAGAATACATAGCAACAAACAAAGGTGTGCAATTTGGCATCCTTTGTGAATGGGCACATTTAATCATAAAGCGAAAGACAGAAAACAAGGTGATTAATTATGTTTATTAGGGTTCTGTACTGATTTATTAGCGGGCTCTCAGCCGATTAACTTGGAATATGTATTGCAAAATGTTAGCAAAGGTGTCTTCTGAGGATTCTTAAGAGAAGAGAGTGCTTCTAAATCTAGGACATTAAAAAAAAAACTAAACTAAATTTACCATGTAGGACTGCAAAAGGAAGCCCATCATAGTGTTCATCTCCCCCCGCCTCCAGTGAATAAACAATGAGTAAGGAATGTTTCTGTGTTGTGTAACATTAGTGTCAGCTTGACACCCAACATGTTTGCTACCAATATCAGCACTAGTAACACTAGATTATAAAGATTCTAGTGTGTTGAGTATTTGCAGCTTTAGGCTACTACTTAAAAGTCTTCAGAGGTTCTCCAGGATCTCTTTGAGGTCTTTTCAGTTGTGTCCTGTGTGCAGAAAACCCACCTCATGAAGATTTGCCTTTTACAACGTAGAGATTTTTTTTTCTTTGCTCAAGCCTTTCAGGACTTTTACTTTGCTAAAATACTAATATTATTGTTTTTGGTTTTTTCCTGTCTTTGCTCTGGTCAATTTTTAATTTTGCTGAGCCTTTAAAAAAAATAATGAGGGTTGCCTATTGTGAATACTTTACTGCAAGCCATTCTAAAAATGTTGACTGAGTAATGGAGGATGGAGCGATGGTCTTTTTCATGTAGGTATTTAAAAAGAAAAAAAATGTTTGGATAAATGCTGGGAGGAAAACATATCTTTGGTACCAGTTTTCATAGGCATGGTAAACTTTTTGTGAATTTCTCCTTGTCAGCCCCATCAGTAAATCAGGAACCAGATAATGCAAAAAAAAATTTTTTTTAATAAATTTTAT